GGCGAGCTGCCTCATCCGGTTGAACTGCTTCTTCATCGTGCGTTTTTCTGCGTTACCAGCGCATTTCTCATTGATGGAAGAAAGTCGGTTCTCCGGGATCCGGTCTCCGGTTCTCCGGTCTCCGGTTCTCCGGTCCCCGGTCTCCGGTTCTCCGGTCTCCGGTCTCCGGTCTGTGTGAGCAGCTCGGGGCGTTTGGGTTACAGATCCAGGGTTTCCATCTCGGGGTCTAATTCCGGCTCATTTTGCTGGAGAGGACTCCGCGTTATCCGCTCCGCAGCTCCGGGGATGCTGGACCGATTCCTCTCCACGGCGCTGACAGCTCGACGCTTCCCGCGGTGCATCATGGGAAACGTAGTTCTCCCCCAGTGCTCCCTCAGACTAACCTCTATGCCTTTGTTATTACAATTAAAGAAAAATGACAAATCTCTATGAGTGATCAATATATGTTTTCCCCTAATTAAACACACATCATCCACTCCAGTCTAACAGAATAAGACATTAAATAAGAGATTAAAGGAAATTATTTAACATGTGTAAGCCAAGAAAATAAAACATAAAAATACAGCAAAGCTGACAGCAGGCAGATGAAATGGCACAAAAATGTATATATGATTGTAAATAAAATGAGTAGATGTGTAAATACAGAAACATCCAAATTAAATAAATAAAATAACCCCAATGGAAATACAAAGAGAACCTTAAATGATTATGAAAATATAAATACAATGACCAGCAAAGAGGAGAATAACAACATGATCATAATTCTAAGTGCATGTATTAAAAGCAGTATTTGTTTATTAACACAGTTTTATTACACATTAATGTAGCTAAAGTTCTGAAAATCCTCTTCCTGCCGGTCAGATACTGGGCCGTTAAGGTTAAATAGGTTACACCTTGACATAAGATTTTAATTTTTTTTTAATTATAATTGAACTCTTGTTTGACTTATTTTCTCTCCAGTCTAATTTTTTCCCTTACAAATCACAGTCTCTCCATAAACATAATAATACGAATTTCTGAGGAACATTGGCCTTAATTTGATCTCTGTGAAAGTTCATCTTAAAACTGAGCAGAGGAAAAAAGATTTGGACTCAGGAAGAAGCCACAGAGCACACAGGGGTTAAATCTGGATGTTTTTTAGCTCAAAGTGTCCAAATTAAAATCCTAGCCTCTTCAACAGTATCCAGACTTTAACAGATGTGCTGTAATTTAATGTAACAGGTACTTTTTAAAACAGTACAGAGTTAATTCTCCATTTCCCTGACGTGTTCAGCAGACTAACTTCCAGCTCCTTCACTTAGTGACATAAAGTGGAATTAGTTCTCCTATAAAACATTTAGCAGCTGCAGGTCTGAGGGCTTTAAAGGAGCAGAACCTATTTTTTTAGCTTTGACAAATGCTGTTTTAGCTGGTTATTGGACTGGGTCCAGGGGACCGAGCCCCCCTGTTATTAAAACAGAGACAGCCCTGCTTCAGCTTAGGGAGGATTTCTGGTCAGACTTTTGGATTTGAGGGAAGAACCTCCCCCCCCTTAGATCAGCTTTGGGTTAATTCTCGTCCCTCCAGAGGTGGAACAGAGTGAAAACAGAGCTGGAAAGTCACTCAGCTCCTCTTCATTCACCTGAATCTGGTAAATACCTGCTTTGGTAGCAATTACCTTTGGAGAAAATACCTCTTCTTATTGGAACTTGTTAATAATTGGGTTCAGGTGGCTGTCAAACTAAGGATCTCTTAGTCTTCCAGGCTCAATTTGACCACCATTTATTGACACAGATAGTAAATTATAATATTATAAACAGAGGAAACTATATATATATATATATATATTGAGAGAGAGAGTTTTTTTTTTTTTTACTGTTAAATGAAAATATGAGGATTATTTTTGCTTGTATTTTATGGTGGCTTGGGGAAGAAAGCTTGTAATTGTAAAACCAACTTGCTCTTCCTTCTTATCGGAAAATGGAACATTTTGCTGCCAGTGGAGCTTAAAGCAAACCCCATAATGCTCCAGTGGACCTGCACAGCGCCATCAGAGGAGATGGTGGACTGGATTATGTCTCAGGGATCCTGAGAAAGATGTTCCCCTCTGTGAGCACAAACAGTAAAGTATTCAGGCTGGAAAGGCATTAAAATAAAAAAGGTTCTGCTGTTCTGTGTGGGCAGGTCTCCTAATTTTCTTCTTTCAGTTCCATGGTCCAACACAGCTTTTTCTGTATTTTCCAGGAGCTTTGAATGTATTTGGGTGATTCAGAATGAGCATTGAACATCAGCTAAAAGCTCAACGTTACACAAAATGACAATTTATATTCTTAAAATGTCACAATCGTGAAACAAACGGGCTCCATTTGTATTCCACAAAAGTGTTTTGACAGCTATAGATTATTTTCCAGACAGTTAACTGACCTTTTGGATTTCATTGGACATAAGTGTGAGCCAGTCACTTATTTTACGGGCAAATGGCGCCATCTTGTGGTTATATGACTCCACTGCCTTGAAAACAGCTTGTGCAAAGCGGTTTGGCACAATAACTAAGGTGAGACGGCAAAAATAAATGATATCTGTCTAAAAAACAACTGTTTTTTAAAACAAAACGCAGGTTCAGTGGATGTTTGTCCTACATTGATCTCTGGAAATAGGCTATATGATGTATAATAAGACCACATGAAAATATGATGAATTTATCATATGATGAAAAGTATTTGCTTGACTAAAAATCTAGAATATCCTTCATTACATGACATCTTTAGCCATCTGCTTTTTCTTCTCATAATTGGAAGCTGCCTGATATGGTCTGATTTGAACCTACTTACTTTCATGCATAGAGCGGTCTACATCTAAAAGAAAGAACGAAGTAATTTAAGAGCTGATTTGACCTCACAGATTCCTGATCTTGACACCACATTCAGATTCATGTGTGGGAACAATAACACTCAGACAGACTAAATAGAGGTTTATTTAAGGATTTGGACTGTGAGGAATTAGCTTCCTCTACAATATTTGAAGTATTTTGTACGTTTACTTTTACTGTGCTATTATTATTGAATAATGACTCTTAGATTGCGAGGCCTGTGGGCGCTTATGAAATGCAAGAACCTTTTCAGCCTTAATAAGTTTGATAAGGAAGGGAAAAAAAGGAGCATAACTAAACAATCATGTCCAAGATCTGTAATGTTCCACAGAATACCTTGGCCATTTTTAACTAGTTTAAATAGGTTGTTACACCCCTGTTTTATTATAGAATAGAATGTTTCTTTATAGATCCCACAGAAGGGAAATCAACTTGTTTCAGGGGCTATTTTATGAA